CAATATATTATTCAAAATATATGTGGAACTTTTTTGTAGATTTCCTAGTAGAAAATAACTCGCGTCATTTTCTTCGCTTAATCCGTTATATATACATATATATAAATATTTCTCTCATCAATCATTATATATTAAATAAAGTTTACTATTTCATATGAATATTTTAGATGCCTTTGACCCATTTCATATTACCAATCGTATCGATGAACTACGAGCTTCAGATCACATATTGATAAGAGTTTTTGCATTCAATTTTTAATAGAACACGAAAATTGATAGATTAATCGCACATAATCATTGTTGATTTCTTTTTTAGACGAATTTCACATTATTGTTCGATAAGCTGAAACATTGTGCAATGAAGAACACATAATTTAAACGAACAATAACAATAACAAGAATAAACATACATTGAATGAATTCACAATTATATAATAGGATAATATCGATAGAAGACTAATTTATTCTATTCGATTATCTATCAAACGAGATTATTTACTTTATTAGAATTTTTTTAGTTTTTTTCATCTTAGAATTTCTTCGGTAAATACTTATTAACAATTAAATTTTCAATTTACATTAAAAAATATTTCTTCGTTTTTTAACGAAATCTTCTTTTATCATTGTTATCTTTAACAAATTAATTTTCATTTTATTTATTAAATAAATATATAATTACATATTTAGTTAATTAGGAAAATTAATTTTCGAGCATTATCGAAAATCAAACTATATATCCAAACGCAATTCAAATTATTTTATATCAATATTTATAACATACATATTCATTAAAATTTATTCAACTATTTAGGGATTATCAAAAGTAATGATAATTATAGCGAAATATCCTATAAGAATCTTTAATGAACTTTATTTCTATATAATCTGATAGAGAAAAAAATGCTCTAAATTTCTATTCTATTTGATCATACTTAAACTAATATAATAATAATAAAATATAAGATAAAATTTATTTCACTATTATATTATATATGTCTGATAGTACTAGTGGCTATTCGTGAGATGTTTACAGTGAATTCTCAAATGTCAGGTTTCTATTGAAATCTTCAATGAAAGAACGACAAAACTGCACCAGATTTAGAATTAATCATTCAGAAGTAATAGGCACTCTAGTCAAATTTTTAACTGATTTTTCTTATCATTTCTACAAAAGAGTTTTTTGTTGTTTTCTTTTTGATAAGAAACCATTTTATCATGCTTACAAAACAAACTAAAAAAAACATGAGACCATATATTAGAAAAATGTATAATATATTATTCGATACATCTTTGTCTCCTCTTTTCAAACGATGAAAATCGTAGCTCTCTATCTTGTTTCTATGAAAAATTATTCAAAAACTATCATATAGACAACTGTACTATCGGACACATATTTACGAATATGAAAACATTGAACAATTTTCGTAGACTCATATCAGTCCATTGACAACTCTATTTATTATCAAAGATTGCATTACCTCATCAACTATCATTCCAATTACGAGGCATTCAATAACATAAACATTTTTTTTTCATTCTTTTTTTTTTGTTCGTTCAACGCATCAATATTTTACATCACCAAGCACAAAAACTTCATATATGTGTCAACAGAATTTTTTCTCAATCATTCTGTACTTTTATATAAGATCAATCTCGATAGTTTTAATGTTCCCTAAGCATATTTATATAATATAATGTCTAAAAAGTCAACTTTTATAAATCGAACATCAGTCAAAATGACTCTTTTTTGTTAGTTCAAATCAAAACAATATATCTCTGCTATGTTTCAGAATCAGAGATATTCAAATTGAATTATATATATATAAATGTTGGGCAAATTTTTCTTCTCTACAAAATTTTTAAAAAGAAAATATCGAAAAAAAAGAACGATTTCTAATCAGTGCAAAAATGTTTATTTTCTCTTGAAAAAGCGTAGAAAATGAGAATTCGTAGGGCCCTATTTTTCAGTGATTAGAAATCTTTCTGTTTTTTAGGAGGTATTTTTAATAATTTTGTAGATAAGAAAGGATTGCAGAACATATATAAAATTGAGCTTGAACACCTCTGATCGTGAAACACACCAGGAAAACATATTGTTGAGTTTTGACCGATAAAAAAGATCCCTTTTGATTGATGTTGGTCTTATAAAAGTTGACTTGTTAGAGATTATATAATATGAATATAGATTATTTTATTCAAATTTTAATTCTCTATCTTCACTTATATAACATGAAATATTTCAAATAATATATTGTAAGATAAGTTATTCAAATTCTTGTCTTGTTTTTTTAATAGATTTTTGTTCATTGATGTGTATTGAATGAACAAAAAAACCAAATAAAAAAAAAAACATTTTTTTTGTTATTAAATGGGTTGTATACTCGATTCCGTGATGAATATTCTCTTAATTAATGATAAAATATTCATAATATTATCCTCTTCTAATTTTCAATGAAAAATAAAACTATATTTAGTTATATGTAAATCGAATGAATATATTTCGAATATATTATTCATCTAATGAAGAGGCGTTGACCAAATAATAATTATTGTATGCGATAAAGTTTAATCCGCTTTATATTCATTAAATAAGAATGGAAAAACTCCACCATGGAGGTCGCAATCCAGCGATTTCTATGCCGGTCGCAAGTTCGAGAAAAGGAGGAGCGTTAGACGGAAGGAGTGCAGATACCGCCGTCTGTAAAAAAGAAAAGACGAAAGAAACCAACCATGAACGATCATAATCGAAAACCATACTGGCTCGGACGTCGCCCTGGTGAACAAGGTTCGCGTCCTCTGTCGAGTAACCAGGACAGAATCGAAAAATCGGATACTGGAAAGACAGGAACACCAGCAGCAGTAACGTCAAAAGTCAAAATTGGTAAACAACGATGGAAGATAATGAAAGATACACTTACAGTGGGTACCTGGAATATTCAAACGTTATGGGCAACAGGAAAACTAGAACTACTAAGAAATGAAATGAAGCGTTTCAGATTCGATGTAATCGGCATTTCTGAAGTACGTTGGACAGGAAAACGAGAAACATCATGTGGTGACTTCATCTGGCCAGGAGAAGAGACTACACACAACAGAGGTGTAGGAATGCTAATAAGTGCAACGGCAAAACAGACACTAATAGGATACAATCCGATTAGTTCACGAGTAATCACGGCTAGATTCAATACAATACCATTCAAGCTCACAGTAATACACGTGTATACGCCAACATTAGCATCATCAGACGATGAAATCGAAATATTCTACGATAGCATTGAACATGCACTAACACAAACGCCTAAAAACGATATAGTAATCGTAACTGGTGATTGAAACCCAAAAGTTGGCAGCGATAACACAAACTGGGAGTTGGTCATGGGTAAATATGGATATGGTGATAGCAATGAACGAGGCGATCGACTCCTAGAGTTCGCAGCACTACACAATCTATATATTTGCAATACACGATTTCAACAAAAAGCAAACAGAAAATGGACATGGACATCACCAGATGGCGTGCACAAGAATATGATTGATCTAGTGCTGATTCAAAGAAAATGGAAATCATTAGTCACGAATTGTCGAACATTTCAAAGTGCTGATATCAACTCAGATCATTCACTAGTGCTATGCAACGTCAAGTTAAGACTCGAAAGACGATGCATCAAGCCACAACAGAATCATAGACCAGATGTAAATCAACTCAAGAATCAGAAAACTAGAGAAGCCTATCAAGCTAGACTAGGTAGCAGGCTTCAAGATATAGATTCAGAGTACAACCTAGAAGAACATGCCGCAAAGGTCGAGGAAGCAATAAAAGAGGCATTACAGGCAACTGTAACCACTACAAAGAGAGCCAAACAGCCCTGGATCTCTGAACAAACCCTTGATCTAGCAGATGAAAAACGTAGAATGAAACAAATAAAGAACGTTTCAGCAGAAAACGACCGGCTATATAAAAGCTTGTGCAACAAAATAAAAAAATCGGCACGGCAGGATAAAGAGAATTGAATCCAAGATCAGTGAGAAGAAATAGAAAATGACCTAAAAACTGGCAAAACCAGGCAAGCCTACAGCTTAATAAAAACACTGAAAAAGAAGTTTGTACCGCGGGTAACGGTAATAAGAAACCAAGATGGTACAATGCTACAGTCAAAAGATGGCCTGAAACAACGATGGACACAGTACTGCGGCGGGCTATATACGGATGAAGGCAGCGGAGAAGAGATGGTCAAGGAATTGGAAGGTATCTTCCCATCATATGAAGAAGGTCCCAAAGATATCCTGTATTCCGAGGTAGAAGAAGCAATCGGGACACTAAAATCCAACAAAAGTTCGGGTTCGGACGGTATCACAGCTGAGATGATCCAAGCTGGAGGTGAACAGCTTGCGCACGAAATCCACAAGCTATGCAGCAAAGCATGGCACGAGGGAACAATACCAGAAGAATGGGGAAAATCTATCCTGGTACCAATACCAAAAAAAGGAGATCTCAGCGAATGTCCAAACTACCGAACAATCTCACTCATAAGCCATACAGGTAAAATCCTACTGACCGTACTGTTAAACAGACTCAAGAGCCATCTGGATCCATACTTGTCGGAAGAACAAGCAGGATTTAGACAAGACAGAAGTATGGTACACCAAATTCTAATACTCAGGCTGCTTGCAGAAAAAGCAAAAAGACAAGGGAAAAAGATATACAACTGCTTCATCGACTTCCAAAAAGCCTTCGACACAATCAAACATAAAATCATATGGACTGTTCTCAGTCATACGGAGTCGAGAACAAAATGATTACACTGCTACAGAATATATATATGAAAAAGCCCAATCAGCAGTACAAGTGGAGAAGGAAACAGGAGAATGGTTTCAAACCAGTGTTGGAAGCAGACAAAGAGATCCTCTGTCACCACTACTCAGGTCGAAATCACCCTGTCGGATCCGAAACTATCCGATCGGTTTCCGGCTGTTGGAAACCATCGTTATCCGTTAGTTTCCGACGATTTCCGATGCCGGATTCCGACAATAGGATCCGATGATATCCAGCAATGGGAACTTGTCGGATCAGACGAAATCGGATGGTAGGAAAATATCCATAGACCCTTTATTTCACTTTTATTGTATTTTTATTTTATTTATTTTATTTTAATTTTAGAGTTGATCACGCTATGCAGTCAGTCTACAGTGAGTAAAGAATTTTTATTTTTTTATTCTTATTTTATTCAATTTATTTTATTTTGTTTTTTTAAATTTTACTGTATTTTCTTTTTTTTTCTTTTACTTGCATTTAATTTTCCATTTTCTTATTTTGTTTCAGATTCTACTACGGCATGAACTCAGTCAGCAGTGGACATAAATTATTTTATTTTATTTTTTTAGTTTTAATTTAATTTAATTCTTATTGCATTTTTATTTTATTTTTATTTTTTTATTTTGTTGTATTTTTATTTTTTTTATTTTTAATAAATTTGGTTTTTATTAAATTTAACTCAATTAAATTTTTATTTAGATATGAATTCACCAGGATTCCATCGGATTCTAACTGTATCCGGCATTTTCCAACAATCGGATCCGACCGTCGGAAAGCGTCGGATCCGACATCCGACAACTTCCGATCGGATTACCGTAACAAGGATTCCGACAACTTTCCATAGGATCCTATCAGAAGTTGTCGGAATCTCCAGGGAATCCGATCGGATCCGACTGTCTTATTCTTGGTCCTGGATACTGTTCGTCGCATATCTCGAACAAGTGATGGACAAAGCAATGCAGGCCAATGATGGAATAAATATCAGTGGAACACTAGTGAACAACCTACGATTCGCTGATGACATTGATGTCCTAGAAGAAGACTGCGACTCACTACATCAACAAATAGAACAATTAAGAGTAGCAGGGGAAGAAGCAGGACTAATAATAAATACAAAGAAAACAAAAACACTAGTATTCGGTGACAAAAACATTGAAAAACGTGTTCAAATAGCAGGAAACACAATAGAAAATGTAGAGCAGTTCGAGTACCTTGGCAGTCTACTCACATGGGACAACAACTGTACTGATGACATCAAGAGAAGAATAGGCAAAGCAATAGGAGCAATGGCTGCACTAAAAAGCATATGGAATAGCAAGAAAATAAAAATAGAAAACAAAATAAGAATCCTAACCACTTGTATCTTCAGTGTACTATTATTTGCATCAGAGACATGGACACTGAAGGAAACCGATCGAAAGAAACTACTGGCGTTCGAAATGAAATGCTATCGAAGAATACTACGAATCAGCTGGAAAGATATGATAAGAAATACAGATATAAGGAAACAGATAGCAAGACAAGAGACCATCATAGATAACATCAAGAGAAGAAAGCTGTCGTTGTTCGGCCATATCTGTCGAATGAACGATAACAGACTGATAAAACACACAGTATTCGCGAGAATCAATGGGAAAACACGAAGAGGACGTCCATGCAGAGAATGGATGGGCGATATAATAGAATGGTGTGGACACAGCGGACAAGACCTGTTCCACCTTACGCAAGATCGAAGGAAATGGAAAGAAATTATCCGAACAGCGGTTGGCCCCAACGGGCGATAAGCCTATGGGATATCATGAATCATGAAGAATGAAAAACAAAAAACAACAAAATTATCATTTTACAATCGAATATTTTTTGTATAATTTAATTGTATAGATTGAATTTTGTTTTTTACTTGAGAGATCGTTTGAGACTGGCTGGAGCAAGTGAGATAAGATTTGTTTCTTTAAATTCTAAATAAAAATACCGAAGAAATAAATGCGAAAACCTCGGATTTAAATCCGAGAGTTATGCGTACTTCAAAAAGTGAATGAGACAGATGAGTCATCCTAGAATGTGTGGACATCAAAATTATCCTGGCAAACCTTTTCTATAAAATACTTGATTTCTATTGGCTACTCTC